ATGTTTAAAGGAAAATTACAAAAATGTTTAACGTTAAGCATGTCACAAGGTTACATAATCCATTCAAATTCGTATAAATATATTGATCACAAATTTCCCACACAGGCCATTATTCTCGAAATCTAACCTAAATTTACTTAGCTGCTTTCACCGCAAATCTAGCAGTATTAAACTTAACAGACTTTGCAGTATTAGATAGTAAATATGAGATTTTCTCCAGATCATTTTGATTAGCTACTAGTTCTAAACTTCTCTTCAGAAACTTGGCTCTTGGGGTTTTATATATCCTAAAATGGAGCATATAGTATATGGTGTTTCGATGTCCGCATTTAACTGAAGCAGCAGAAACAAACAGTGTTTTTCATACTGCTTTTGAAATACAAATGTCATAAGAATGAATTCATTGTTTTCATCTTCACTTTCCCTCCCATCAACTTGACTACTTCAGTTTTGAGGAAATCACAGGTGGATTTGACCAGCTCCCCAATGCCTTCCTCCAAGAAATGCCGGGAATAATTCGTTTCAACAGCAGAGTAGAGAAGATTGTTCGCTCGGACACGAAAGTGAGGGTGTTTTACCACAAACTGGGCAAAAGGACCTTGTCCTTCCTGACTGCCGACTACGTCCTTGTTACGGCTACAGCCAAAGCCACACGACTTATAAAATTCCAGCCTCCTCTTTCCCATTCAAAGGCCCATGCCTTGCGCTCCTTCCATTATGGCAGTGCTACTAAAGTTGCCTTGGCTTGCACAGACCGATTTTGGGAGAAAGAGGGGATTCGAGGTGGGCGGTCATACACAGACCACCCATCCCGACTTATCTATTACCCAAACCACAACTTCACCAGTGGACTTGGGGTGCTCCTAATTTCTTACACTGTGCATGATGATGCTGATTTCTTTGTTCCCCTCAGTGAGGAAAAATGCATTGATGTGGTGCTAGATGACCTATCACAAGTGCACAACATATCTAAAGATCATCTCAAATCAGTTTGCAAGAGGCATGTGATACAAAAATGGGTCCTAGACAAATTTTCCATGGGGGCCTTTGCTTCTCCCGCTCCATATCAGATTGGCCAATTTTTCAAGGTCTTATCTCAGAATGAAGGGAGGGTCTTCTTTGGGGGAGAACACACAGCCCACCCTCATGCTTGGATTGAAACTGCAATGAAATCTGCTATCCGGGCGGCAAGTAGTATTCATCTCATGGCCGCTAAGCCTGCATTGTAGGGGCTGGGAAAAATGAGCTTTTGTTGTACCTACCCTTCATAAAACAAGAGGGATTGATTACTTGACGGGCCTTCCTGACTTTTAAACTGCTGGGTATTTGTGGCAATGATTGGGAAAGAGCAAAAACATTTTCCCTATTCCTTTCTGCAAATAATAATCAACACTGATCAAATGTCACCTTGCCATTGTGCCTTTTCAATTATAGTGCTATGATTCTATTTCAACTGTCATAACAACATCCTATGGAAGCCTGGGATTTGGAGTGTAGTAAAGGGCATTTAGGATTCTCAGCCAGGAAGTTCTTATGCCTCACCAAACTGCAAATCCCAGGATTCTGTAGGATGCAGTCAAGGCAGTTAAAATGGAGTCATATTGCTAGAATTGTATGTTGTAAAAGGGACCCTTGTATGTTTTTATGTTGAATATCCATAGTACTGTAAAAGGGTCATTTCTAGATTTTATATCTGCATTAGTGAGGAAGGAGAAGGAGGATATACCGTATTTTTCGGCATATAAGACGCTCCGGCATATAAGATG